AGGGGAAGATTAGACTTCAGAGTATTGTGAGGCAGAAGATCAGGATCTGTTAAAAAAAGGAGAACAGGATTGCTTCAAGTTGTCCACAAAGTCACTTGGACTCACTTTGAAATGCTATCATTATAGGATATATGTAGTTAAGCTCTGGACAAATTTCAGAAGCATGAAGAGATGGGAAGCTGCCTGTGGAAGAAACCCCTGAAGCAGGGAAGGAGGGGATTTCTCTCTATACTGGCCACAAAGTTAATGGGTAGCTCCCCTTTGAAGGAGAATTACTGGACCAATAATAGAAATTGTATGTCATCAGGCAACACCAGGGCATCTGGGTGGCACAGTGGATAGTGTCAGGCCTGGAGTCAGGAAGACCCCTCTTCCAAAGTTCAAATCAAGACACACATTATCTGTGTGACCCTGGGCAAGTCACTTAATCCTATTTGCCTCAGTTTCCTCATCTGGAAAATGACCTGAAGAATGAAATGGCAAACCATTCTAGTATCTTTGCCAAGAAAACATGATTGGAAAACAACCGAACCACAACAGGGAACACCAACATACACTCCAAATAGACATGGATACCCAGAGATAATCACCTAAAAGTGGAGGCAATTCAAGGATTGTGACCCCTGATAGCAGTGGGGAGAACAGATCCTAGGAACCTAGCTGAGCAACCTATCTAGCACAGATATTAAACTCAAGAGGAATTCCCTGTGAAGAGAGGCTTCTAGGCCCTGCATTATGAGGAGCTGCTAGTGGCCTTTGCCACATTTATACCCTACATATGTGCCTCTCTACTCCTGTAGTCTAAATCTGAGCCCATGCGGACACTATGAGCACTTGTAGTAGAGTGTGCCCCAAGTTTATAGGAGGGCTGCTGAGGAACTACCGTTCTTTCTGTGCCACCTTACGCCCTTACTAAAGGCTGACTGCATCTACTGCATAGTCATTAATGGGAAGTACACAGGTGGGGGTTTGTCATGGTAGAAGCATGCATCCCCTCAATGTAACCCAAGGTAGCAACTGCTTTCTGGCACCTAATCTATGATTATAAGTGCAAATTGGAGGAAAGGCCAGGGGTGGAGGGAGTTACATTTGATAACATGAATATCAACATGAAATTTTATGACATTAATATCAGGGCTGGATGACGGGTGAATAATCCTACTCAGGCATAATGCTTCACATTTCTACAGTGCTTTAAGGTTTAAAAAACTTTCCACACAACAATCCTGAGACAGACAGTGTAAATATGCCCTTCACAGATAAAGAAATTAAGCCTCACAGAAATTAAGTTTCTTGCCCATGGTCATACACCTAGATGAGATTTAAACCCAGGGCTTCTGACAATAGTTTGCCCCATTTCCCACATGAAATACATCACTACGCATTTAAAATTAGGAACATCAAATTTTAAAAATGTTTTAAAGTTAATGATTGTATTACCCTCAAAAATCTGATTATAATCAAATAATGGCTTCAAATAATTAACAGAAGAAAGTAAGAACACAAATTAAACCACAGATTTTTGTTTCTAGTCTCGAATACTGGAATTGTAGGTATGCAAAGTGCTAGGCATTGGGGATTTAACAGGAAATAACACATAGTTCTTCTTTTGAGGAGATTACTAATTATAGGTTATGGGGACAGGACAAATTTATAAAGATAAGAATAACATTACTTGACAGCACAGTGCCAAATAAGTCACATAAACAAGTTTAAGGGCTATGTAATTTTAGAGCAGGTGATCACTGAGAACTGAGTAGCAAAGAGCTTTCAAGGAAGAGATGGGGCCTGATTCAGCAATGAAAGAAAGACAGACTTTAGAAGAGCAGAAAAGAGTCCAGGGAGGTTAAATAACTTTCTTGCCTTGGGTCACAAAGGGAGGAAGTGCCCAAGTTAGGATTCCAACCCAAGACATCTGGCTCTAAACTTAGGGAACTTTCAAAATCCCTCAATTCCACAAGAATCATACAACTTAATAGGACTATGACAAGTTAACAAATAGGTTTATTACAAGGTAGCAGGTGATAGGCTGAAGGAGAAACCCAGATGAAATGCTCCATGAACCTTACTGAGGAGAGACAGAGTTTCAGGGATCTGGGAGGGTTTTATTGAAGAGATAGCATCTAAGCTGAACCTACAAGTTTAGGGTTTAAACAAAAATCAGGAAAGAGGCGTTCTGGATTATGAAGGAAGGCCTCCATGGAAAGTCAAGTCAGTCAAACATTTATTAAGTGCCTACTCTGTGCCAGGCACTGTGCTAAGAATTAGGCATACAAAGAAAGATAAAGGCCAGTCCTATCTTAAAGAATTCACATTCTAAAGGGGTATGATAACATGCAAACGCTCATGTTCAAGTATGCCTTGTATAGAATAAAATGAGAATAATTAATAGAGGGAAAGAACTAGAAATAAGGCAGCATCAAGAAAGGCTTCCTGCAAGTTCAAGGAAGAGCTAACATCTCCAATCTGTTTAGAATGTAGAATGTGTGAAGGGAAACAGAATGACAGTAGACTGGAAAGAGAGTTTGGAGTCTGATTATGTAATCTCTTAATAAATGCTTTATCTAATCTAATCCAGTCTACTTTATCCTAAGGGCAATAGGGTCCCAAGAGACAGCAGATACAAAACTGACTTGTCAGTGGGTTCAAATCCCACCTTTGATACAAACTGGCTGTGTGGCTCTGGGCAAATCATGAACCACTCACTGCCCCAAGTAAAGCTCTGAAACTATAATGGGCAGAATAGTTTATTCCTCACCCTGGCTGCACTTCTCCTGACTTCTCCACCAGGGTCCATCCAAGAACCTCATAATCCTGAACGATCACACCAGCTCTGAAGTCACACCTCATCAGTACTCTTACTCTGCTCCTGAGGTCCCTCTGATTTAGGATGGGCTCCACAACCAGCCATCTTTTCATTTCCCACCTGACTGCTCTTCTTTGAACTTCTCCATCATATCCAGTTCCCACTGCTCCCTACACCCATTTCCAGCTTCCTTTTATGTGTTGTTTTTTCCCTACTAGAATGTAAATTCCTCAGGGGCAAGACTGTCTTTCTCTTTCCTCTTCTGTATTGATTTGCAGTGGCAAGAGTTTCTTCAGAAGGGACAGTGCCCCATGCTGATGAAATTACAGGTTTGATCTACTAAAAGCTTTTGAAATAGAATAAAGATATGGGCAACTAGGTCAGGCAGTGGATAGAGAGCTGGGTCTGGAGTCAGGAAGACTCATCTTCTTGAGTTCAAATCTGGCCTCAGACACTACTTGTGTGACCCAGAGCAAGTCACTTGTCTGCCTCAGTTTCCTCCATTAGTTAAATGAGCTGGAGAAGGAAATGACAAACCACTCCAGTATCTTTGCCAAGAAAACCCCAAATGGAGTCACAAAGGATTGGACATGACTGAACAACAACAAATGGTCAGATCAGGTTACGTAGAACTCACATGGCTTGGCATCTTATTGGAAGCAATCATGGTAGGTCTCACTTAATAAAATCTCTCCAGCTGATTCAGAAATAGTAACAGAGACAGGAAAGATGGGCAACTGGGAACAACAGCTTCAATGTGGTTCCAAGTTCTTCCTGCCAGAACCCTCCCTTCCATTCAGATTTAGACAGAAAAGCCTAGTCAGAGAAGAGTGAAAACCTGATTCACTTTCACAAGGTATCTATTCATACTGAACTAAAATGAATGCAAATCCAAGGATCCACTTTACTGAGCAACAATAGAAACTACATTATGAATTTTAGCACAGAACAAAATAATTAGTTTTGGATTTGATTATCCAAAACCCTCTGTTAGGTTCTAGCACGAATTAATATGCAATTGAAGTATCATGAAAAGAACAAATGGAGTAGTCTATGTGTAAAAACTGGGCTAAGAATGGGGGGGGGGAAGTAGAGGAATTAACAAATATTATATACATTCTGGAAGGAAGGCTAGATCATAAACTGAATAGATGAGCCGACAAAGAAAAAAAAGCAAGTCACAGAAGTTAGACCTAGGGATAAGGCACGAGCTAAGCTCATTTCTACGAAGACAGTATTTTTGGGGTGTGGGAGGTGAAGGGAGCGAGAGGAGAAAGGAAAGCACAGCATCAGGAAAAGCGGAGACGTTTTTGGAATAGAAACATTGGTCTCAGGCAAACCGCTCGAGGTGGTAAAAGGTCTTAGGACTGGGAGGGGAGGGAAATGAACTTGACCTTGTACTCATTTAAAAAAATATCCTCATCTCAAAGGCTACCCATCAAGGCCAAGGCTCAATATTAAACATCAAGAGCAATCTGGCCATGGAGACCTTCCTGAACACCCCCAACCCCATGAGATTGCCCTCCTTGAGGGCTCTGCCTCTTGATGTATCTCCAGTACCTAGCTTGGCACGAAGCAGGCGCTTAATAAATGTTTACTTGATCCCCCTTCCCCCACTCCGCCGCATCTATCCGGTTATCTTCCCTTTCCGACCCCTCACCCCCCCAAAGCAAGAGAGAGACAGAAACACGGAGAGAGGCTGACTCGCCATCACTGTCCCGGTAAGGATGACACGTCACTTACCCCCTTTCTTCCCCCACCTGCGCCCAGACTCTCCCGCCCGAGGAGAAAGCTGCCTCGGCGCTGACCGATCCGTCGAGAAGCCAAAATACGCGAGCCGAGTCGGTTTCAGGCAATTGTCGCAAAGTGCCCACATCCATTCGCCTGGGCCTACCTTTCGCGACAGTCCTTGACGGCAGCACCTACCGCTCTCCCCACCCCTCCTTGGTCATTTCTCTTGGTCCACTCCTCAGTCACCCCCTCCTCCCAACACCGACCCCCGCCCCTTTCCGTCCGCTATTCCTGAGGATGCGTCGTAGCCAACCAAGCTTGGCTGGGAGATGGTGACAGTCTAGATCGAAGTGCCAAGCTCTCCCTCTCTGTATAATGCTTTTAAATGCTTAGCATTACAAAGAAAACCAATTATATTGAAACTACAATTATCTAGATATTAAAAATATTGAAATACAATTACCAAGGTATTAAAAAAAACTCTAGGTAAGCCCCTAGAATTTAAGGGAGCCTAGAGTTTAACATGAGGAAAGGTTCCATAAAAAGTGCACAAAATGAAACAAAACTCCTCTTTCCTCTTCCCCGCCTTCAACTGACTCACGCATGCGCAGTAAACGTGCCAGAGCCAAGCTGCAGAAAATGAAAACAAAACGCCCTCCAGACGCTACCCAAGACGCATGCGCCACATCTACCGGGAGATGGCATTACACATGCGTGATGCGAGATTGGTCGGTGATTGGCTGAGCGCTGAGCGTGCGGCCTTGTCGGCGGGACACTTGAGCCTCGGCAGGGCTGAGAGGAGGGTATGTTGTTTTCGTCTGTCTTCATCTGACGATTGCCTTCCGCGTCTCTCCGGTGAGTCCCTGATGGGCGAGGGTGGTGGGAAGGCCCCGGAGACCTAGATGGAGCGATAGAGGAAGAAAGGGAGGCTGGTTGGGCTGGGGGTGGGCGGGCCCAGCCTACGGGGCTTGACCGTTGGCTCCCCCAGAGCTCGGTGCGTTTGGGGCACTGCTGCACCACACATTATTTGTGTCCCTCTGGCCTCCTAAGCCGATCCGCTGGCTATCTGTCTCTCTGTCTGTCCATCTGTCTATCTGTCTGTCTGTCTATACTGTCCATCCATTCATCTCTATCCATTTATTCATCCATTTAGCCATTCATACCTATGTATCCCACTCATCTTTCTATTTATAGCTATCAATTTATCTATCTGTTCATCCATTCATTTATTTATCCATTCATATCAATCTGTTCATTCATCAGTCTGTATCCATTCATCTCAGTATATCCACTCATTCTACCTATCTATCCATTCATACTTATTCTTTTTTTCTACCTATTCATTTCGTATGTATCCATCCATTCAGCTATTTATATGTTCATCCATTCATTCATCTGTCTGTCCATTTGTCCATCCATTTATCTATCTATTCATATCTATCCATTCATTTATATGTTTTTCTTTGTTTGTCTATCTAGTATGGTTATTTTTATGTTGTCTCCTTCGTTATATCATAAGCTTTTTGAGGGTAGAGACTGTTTTTGCCATTCTCTGCATCCCCAGTGTTTAGCACAGTATGAGGGACATAATAAATGCTTAATATGTGGAGAGAGCTCTGGACTTGGAGCAGGAGGCCCTGAGTTCAGTTCCTCTCTCAGATACTTACTAGCCTAGTGGCAATGTACAAGTAAATTAAGTTGTTTTAGGTTCAGTTTCCCCATTTGTACAATAAGAATGATAATGGCACCTACCATAAAACACTTTGCAACCTTAAACAGACATAGCTGTTGTTATTATTAATAAAAAAGGCTTGTTGACTGATGGTTCTACCTATTGCTGTAAGAGTAACTCCCAGGTCAGAATTCTCCCCTACAATGTAGTTCTGCACCTTTCCTGAATGTTAAAGTTTTATAGAGTTGCCTAGAGCAGTAGTGTCAAACTCAAATAGAAATGGCAGACTGCATATTGACTTAGAAAACCACAAATTAACATTAGCTATGTTGTATTGTATTTTTATTTTGTTAACTGTTTTTCAATTACATTTTAATCTGGTTAAGGAGGACTTTGGCAGGCAGACATTTTGTCACCTCTGGCTTAGAGCACTGAGAAGTCAAATGACTTAGCCAGTGAGGAACAACCACTGTGGCATAACTGGGACTTGAACTTAGGTCTTCCTAGCTCCTAGTCAAGTCAACAGGCATTTATTAAGTACCCACTATGTCAATTAATAAACATTTATTAAGTGCCTACTTTTTGTCATGCACTGTGCTAAGTACTTTTGGCTCATTATTATGCCACTGTAGTGAAAAGAGCATTACATTTGTAGTTGGGTCATAGTTAGGATCCTAGCTATGCAACTTATTAACCTTCTAATTTTGGGCAAATCTCTTAACAATTTTGTGCCAAATAAATCCAATAAAGGTATACTGAGGTACAGACTCCAAGCTAGCTCAGATTGTTAACAGTGACTGGTATAACTGAACAAAATGGGTCACTCGGGGAACTCTAACAAAGCCCAACAACCCCCAGAGAAGAAGGGGACCCTCTTTATTAACACACAACAAAGAAAGGGTTGTGGCAGGCCTCTAAAAAAGGTTGTAGGATTGGGGCAGGAGCATTATGTTTGGATATACTGAGAAAGGTGGGCTGGCGGAGTTCAGGTAAGGCTAATCACACCCCTCTGTAACAATTGAGGAATGTATAGTGGGCTAGTCCTGGAGTCAGGAGGACTTGAGTTCAAATCTAGCCCTAGTCACTTACTAGCTTGGTGACCTTGGGTAAGTCACTTAACCCTATTTGCCTCAGTTTCCTCATCTGGAAAATGATCTGGAGAAGAAAATGGCAAATCACTCCATTGTCTTTGCCAAAATATCCCAGCAGACAGTATTGGCATGCTATGGTCCATGGGGTCATGAAGAATTGGATACTACCGTTCTTTGGGACCTATCAGGATCTTGTAGTCTTTTGTTAGGGGATGAGACCTAAGACACTTGCTGTCTCCTTGGAAAAGATAAAAACTCCCTTAACTACACAAAAACAGGAAAGTACAGATGACATATCTTTTCTGGGGCTAAATAAATGGATATCCATAGAGTATCCTAGGGAATACCAGCATGAGACATAACAACCTTTCTTTTAAACTAAACTAACTAGCTCAATATGGATTCTTGGGCTCAGCTCAAGCCAGGTGGATGTAGACCCAATTATAAATTAATACACCATAAAGTCAGTTACATTATAGAATCAATACAGTAGAAATCAACATGGAAGAAATCAGAAGTAATATTAATTTTGATCTTTCCACAAATAAACAAGTGTTTACTAAATACCAGGTACTGTGCTAGCTACTTGAGATACAGAGACAAAAGCGAAACAATCTCTACCCTGAAGGAGCTAAAAATTTATTGGAATGACATTATGTATACAAAAAAAGTATATACAAAATTTATAGACAAGGTAGTTTTATGAAGGAACTGGGGGGAATCAGGAAAGGACTGATTTAGAGGTTTGGGATTGAGTTGAACCTTTGTTTTTGTTTTTTGGTGAGGCAATCAGGGTTAAGTGACTTGCCTAGGGTCACACAGCTGGTCTCAAGTGTCTGAGACTGGATTGGAACTCAGGTCCTCCTGACTCCAAGGCCAGAGCTTTATCCACTGTGCCATCTAGCTGCCCTGATTGAATTGAACCTTGAAGAGAAACTAGCGATTCTAAGAGGCAGAATTGAGGAAGTAAATAGTGCATTCGAGGGTCAGCTTGTGCAAAAGCATGGAGAGAGGAGATGAGAGTTTGGCTGGTTTGAAGGGTATGTGAAGAGGAGTAACATGTGATAAGCTTGGAAAGGTTGTGAAAGGCTTTAAATGCTGCACGGAAGAATTTGCATTCGGTTCTAGAGGCAATAGAGAGTGATATAGCTTTTTGAGCCGGGGAGTGACATGGTTAAGACTTGCGCTTTAACAGATATGTGGAGTATGGATTGGGGGTATGGAGGACTTGTGGCGCTGGTGACCTTGGGAGTAGAAAGAAGGGAACTTGCAAAGAGATGTGATAAAAAGGGCAAAATTTGGCAGTTGTTTGGATAAGGAGGGGTGAGGAGGAGTCAAGGATGGACTTCGGGGCTGTGATCTTGAGTGACTAGTAGGATAGTTATACCCTCAGCAGACATAGGGAAGTTGGGAAGAGGAGTAGGTGGTGGGGCAGTGTTGTGTTTTGAAACGCTTTGAGTTTGAGGTGACTGGGACATCCAGTTCAAAATGTCAAATAGGCAGCTGGTGATATGGAACTTGAGTTCAGGGGAGAGACTAGGGCTGGAGAGGTAGATTTGGGAGTAATTTGCTTAGAGTTCATAATTGAAGCCATGAGAGCTGATGAAGTCACTGAAAGAGGTACTAGAAATAGAACAGGGCTCAGGACAGACTTTTGGGATATATCCACAGTTAGAGATTAGGATGTAGATGATGAACCAGAAAATGAGATTGAGTAGGAGAGGCCAGACAGGTAATATCCTAGAGAGAGCATCCAGGGGGAGAGGATACTTGAATGCTTCAGTAGTATTAAGTAAACTTTGAACTTACCTGCTGACGAGAGTGTAGTCTCAGTTTGCTATAACAGTTTTGGAGGTTCTGCAGAGATCCCTAATACTTAGTGGCTCCTTACTTATAGAATGGGCCATCTTTTAAATTTCTCTCTCTGTTCTTTCCTCTCTTCCTTCTTTTCTTTCTTTCGTTTTGGCTGGATATTACCCATGTGAGAAGTATCCCATCAGAATGTGGGATTGTATTTTTCCAGGTACTTGTTTAAGGATTTCAAAATTTTATTTTTAAAATTTTGAACTTAAACACAAAAAGCCCCCAAACCATGAGCATTCCAGATACAAAGTAGAACACAAAAAGAGGATTGTACATGAAACCATGAATCTATCTATATTCTTTACATCTTGCTTTTTAAAGAGTATATAATAAATTCAACCCATTACTTTTAAAACTATCCTGTATGTCTGTACTTCCTTCTGAAGTACTTTCTGTACTCATTTGTGCATTTTAAAAATGTTTCAGTATCTCTTATTTTTCTCTTTTTATTTTTTTGACCTCACTATTGCTCTCTCTTCTATTCCCCCTACCTCCACCCATTAAAAACATGAAGAAAAGAAAAAACAAAGCCCCACCTTTTAAATAAATAAACATCGTTAAACAAAACACATCTATGCAGTGTCCATTTCCAAAAATGTATGTCACCTTTTGTATCTTGAGTCCATTACCTCTCTGTAAGGAAGTGGATGACATGCTTCATTGTAGGTCATCTGGATATGTGGTGGGTTATAGTTTTGATCGTGCTCTTAAGCCTTTCATGGTAATTTTTCTTTGCAATGTTATAGTCATTATGTAAATTGTTTCTTGAGGGAGGCTTACTTAGCTTTATCAATGATTATTTCCCAGTAGTTTTCAAAATTGTCTCTTCAGTAATTTCTTATGCACAACAATATTTTATTGTATTCATATTATTCAACTATTCCCCAATTTATGGACTCCCCCTTGGTTTCTAGTGTTCATTTTTTCCCCTTTTTTAACCCTTGCTTCAGGATCA